GTGGGGGACAGAATAGCTAAGTTGACTGAAAGCCACTGCTGAGGGGAGCAGTGGGCAGGTCAGGAGAGGTCTGCCGCGCCATGTGGGTCACCTCCTTGGCCAGGGATCGAACTTGCACTGAAGCAGCTGAAGCTCACTTGCCGTGCTATGTCCCAACCCTTTGCACCCCCAGCAAGGGCCTGACTGCCATTTCTGAGTTAGCTTTTTGAGATGGGCTCCTGCTTATTTGTCCTTCTTGGCTAGACCTCCTGGGATATCATGAAGGTGCAGGTGACTTGATCAGAGGCATGAAAATGCAAAGGTTTCTTGTCAGGTATCTCTGTCACGCTTCCTCCTGGGGTCTCATCACAGTTTCATAACAGCATTAAGTGCTTTGCATGTGTCAACTTCATTTAATTCTCATAACAACTCATGGGATGGATGCTATTATTATTCCAATTTAGGAGATGATGAAATTGATACTCAGCAAAGTTAAGCAATTTTCCTAAAGGCACACAGCTGAAGCCAGGCTTCAGAGACACAGCACACTGGAACCCCTGCCCTTAACCATTACATCAGGAAACTCCCAGGAGACCAGTAAGCTTTGTCTTGTGCCTTAGCAAATTGTTCATCTTGTGCAAAATTTATCTTGTCATGACCTACTTCTTAGGAATCTTCCCACTCAGATCTAACCCCTCCTTCTGCATCCAATTTAAGTGTCATTCACCTATCCTAGAAGTACTTGATTTTCAAGGGAGAAGTGCATTTAATTTATATGAGCGACTTATTGCTTAGGTATTGGTATCGTGCTAACTATTAAGGAAGATAAATAGGCACACTCATGTCTTCAAGAAGACCTACACTGGCATGGCAGCAGTAGCCATGAGTAAACTACTTAAATTAAAAGTGAATTGAAATACAGTAAAATTCCCATTCTTTCAATTACACCATTCACATTTCAAATACCTAGTAGCTACATGGAGCTACTGGCTGTTTAGAACACACAGATACACAGAACATTTCCATCGTTGCGAAGGTCCTCCTGTTGGACAGCTCAGTTCTGTAGAGGTCAGAAGGCCACCGCCTACCAGTCAAGTCTGTCCTGCCACCTGCATGGATAAATCAGTTTTCCTGGGACAGTCATGTCCATTCATTTACATCTGTGGCTGTAGTTGGGACAGAAGCCACACAGCCCGAAAAGCCAGGAACACTTAATTTTGTCCCCTTACAGAACAGATTTGTCACTCCCTGTCTGGGTGAAGCTGGGGATGGTATACATTTGAGAACTGAGATATTCTGTAGTTCAGGGAATTAATGTATGAGCCTTATGCTGCAGCAATGAATGAAAGCTAGGTCCTGCGGACCTGGTGAGCCTGAATTTCTCCATGTACTCTGAATACAATTCCAGTGAGGTGGTATACAAAGGACTCTGTGGTCAAATAAGTTTTGGGAATGCTGAATACTGCTCCAGTTCTTTGAGGTTTCACAGGCACATTAAAGGCTCTCAGAAGTCCTGCAAGTAAAGAAATGTATTTTGTGTAACCTCTAAGCAATTTAGCTGAAGGATCCATTTTTCTTCTGACACTTAGATCAAAAACCTGCAGAATTGAAGTTATTAGGAGCCTATTTTGAGCTCATTGACCTCAGTGAGCCACTGAAAGCTTTGAAGCAAAGGTGTGATGTGCTGGTTGCACCTGGCGAACTGTGCCCCTTGGCCTTGCTGGTGCATCTTTCGACACGCCGGCTTCCCCTAGTGTCACGGTGACTGTTCATCTATCTATACCAGGCCCAATTATCTGAGGGAAAGCATTGTCTTACTCATATTTATGGGCTCTAGAACTCCTTGCATGCCTCAGGCTTGA